AAGCCATTTTATTAACGATGAATACCAATTTGAATTTGAAGCAAGAAGTTACCAACAAAACTTTGGTGCTAAATAAATAAACAAAATCTAAAACCTAAATATGTTACCGTACGGTTGGTACTCAACCACTAGCGGGGATATGGTTCAGTAATATTTGAAGGCTCATATTTTGATACACATGGAGAGAGGCTTCTGGTACTATGCATACAGAATGCAGGTTGTGAGGGTACTGGAAGTGCGAGAGACTGGCTGTTAAGCATTGATACAACTGAAGCCATGGTTGGCCTGTCCACCACATTATTTTGCACACACAGTAAACCAATGTGGATGCATCTCATCGTTTCCATTTGTGAACTTCTTGTCAACACAGGATCTATGATGTTTTGAAATGTCTCCTCCCTCCAATTTCTCCATGCCTATAAAAGTACATCAATATGGTCAAAAAGAAATTTTACCACGGCAAAAGAGAATATATATACTGACTTTAATGTATTCATACTCACATAGGTCAACAAGTCCTCTTCATTCTCGCCATATCGGAAACTACCAATCTTTTTACCGCTTACAATTTCAAGAACTAACACCCCAAAACTGAAGACATCCGTTTTGACAGAAAAGCGACCATGAATTACATACTCATGAGCCATATATCCACTGCATGAATTATATTCCATTTATTAGACATGCAAAGTTTTTTTCTTTTTCAATGAAAGCTTTCTGTTGTAAGGAGAGCACAAAATGAAAGTGTATGTTATCACAGCACTTACTAAGTTCCCCTAACTGTCTTTGTATCCCCTTGACTTTGATCAATAACAAACAATCTTGCCATTCCAAAATCAGCAATTTTGGGGTTCATATCTTTATCTAACAAAATGTTGCTGGCTTTGAGATCGTGATGAATAATTCGAACCCGAGAATCTTCATGGAGGTAAAGAATCCCTCGAGCAATGCCTCCTATGATCATGTAACGTGTTTCCCAATCCAAATGCTCGTGATTGTTTGGGTCTAAACACAATTTTATTAAAAGAAATATGAACTTTTTAATCTTTAAGAAATTACTATAAATTATACGAAATTTGAGGCAGAGCAAATATACCAAAAATGAAGTGATCAAGACTTGTGTTAGGCACGTATTCGTAAATGAGGAGTCTTTCCTCTGCTTTCAAGCAATATCCTAGGAGCCTCACTAAATTCCGGTGTTGAAGCTGAGCAAGTAACATGACCTCATTCTTAAATTCACGATCACCTTGTTCAGAATTTTTGGAGAGCCTTTTCACTGCTATAGGTTGCCCATTGAATAGCCTACCCTGAATGTTTAAAAGAGAAAAATAAGGAAACCATGCGAGATTTTTTTTTCTCGTGAAAGTGATTGTTTTGCTACCTTGTAAACAACTCCAAACCCACCTCGTCCAAGCTTATTTGCTTCAGAAAAGTCATCTGTTGCAGATCTTATAGTTTCAAAATCGTATTGCAACGATTCCACCAGATTAACGTCTTCCGAATTCTCATCTGAAAAGGGGAAAATTAATTAGCAAAGAGAGTTCCAAAACCTCAGATAAGATAAATAAACAGAGTAGAACTTACCTTGTTCAAGTTTTATCCTTCGTTTCCTTACTCTGAAGAAAAAGCATATGCTGCTGAAAATAGTGACAAAAACAACCAAAACCACAGCGATGATGATGACAGTTTGTTTTGTGTCACTCTTCTTTTTTGCTGAAAATCGGATGGGATATCTTATCAAAAGCCAAAACCACACCACATAATTGTAAGACATGGATATCAAATTTAAGATTTGCAGGGTAACCATACTATACCATAATAACCGTACATACCTTCTTCGGGTGCTGGTGCTGGAACTGGAGCTGGAATATCTACTAACGAATTGGCTGTAGACTCAAAGAACAGACCAACCTCATACCTTAAATTACAGCTGGGTCTAAGAACTCTTCCTCCTTTCTTTCCACCGCAACAGGTTTGAATTTCTGAGACGGACTGTTCAAGGCAATTGCTGCAATTTTGCTTGTTGATGTCTGGAGTGCACTGAACAAGTGCGTATATCTTTTCATCTCCAGAGACAGTTGCATGGCCTGCTGCAAATTTTTTAAGAGAATCCCCTGACGCAGCTCTGTCACTTAAAATACCCAACAAGGGGGTAAGCACCAGCTCAAACTGTTGAGCATTTTTGGCAGAGTTTTGGCTACGCACATGCTGAAGAGGGTCCACTTGTTCAATACCAAATATCAAGTTGTTTGAGTATCTCACCATACAAGGCTCTGCCCATATGATTGCTTCCTTTTGATGACGTGAACAATTTTGCAAGATAATATCAGTAGACTTGTTGAGACAAGCATGACAAGAGTCCTCTGAGATATCTCCCCTGCATAATGCAATTGCATTGACTTGGTTTTGGTCTTGCCCCAATGATGAATTGTAAAACCCATAATTGTTTTGGGTGTTGGAGGAGGAGAAGGAGGAGAGGAGGCTGTTGATGTTCTCTTGGTACTTGTCACCTGGTGTGTAGATGCCAGTATCAGAGCATTTCCAGCAGTACTCAGCTCTTTCTGTGCACATACCATCATATTGGGATATGGTGGGAGCAACAAGGTTTAAGAGAATAATAGCAAGAGTAATGAAGAATAGCAATGATCTTGAGGAACCCATTTTTCTTGCTCAACTCACAACAGTAACACAAACTTGTCTTAAAGGAAAGACATATTGGTTCCTTGACTAGGTCATTCATAAAAATAAAAATAAACATATACTACGGTCAAAATGGTTTCTTGACCCTTAATTTGATCTTACGTTTGTTGTCCAATTTTGAAGAGGAAAATTTTGTGGTGCCCCGCTTATCCAAGGGCTGAGTTTGCATGTTAAAAATGGATGGCTGAGATTCAATGATTGAATAACCTATTCAGTCCTTTCTTATTTAACCACATGTGAGCCACACGTGATTGAGGAAAGGAAAAAAATCCACGCAAATGCAGGGGTTGCGTTCGTTGGGTATGTTGCGTTCATTTTATAAATTTAAATGTTGGTATGTATGGGTGTTGTGCTCCTTCGGTGACGTCCTGATTTATGTGCCGAAGGAGCACAACAGACGAAGATAGAAAATGGAAAATATCATATGCCGTATGGGATTGGAAAAATTGGACAACAAACGTAAGATCAAATTAAGGGTCAAGAAACCATTTTGACCGTAGTATATGTTTATTTTTATTTTTATGAATGACCTAGTCAAGGAACCAATATGTCTTTCCTTTAAGACAAGTTTGTGTTACTGTTGTGAGTTGAGCAAGAAAAATGGGTTCCTCAAGATCATTGCTTTTCTTCATTACTCTTGCTATTATTATCTTAAACCTTGTTGCCCCCACCATATCCCAATATGATGGTATGGTATGTGCACAGAAAGAGCTGAGTACTGCTGGAAATGCACTGATACTGGCATCTACACACCAGGTGACAAGTACCAAGAGAACATCAACAGCCTCCTCTCCTCCTTCTCCTCCTCCAACACCCAAAACAATTATGGGTTTTACAATTCATCATTGGGGCAAGACCAAAACCAAGTCAATGCAATTGCATTATGCAGAGGAGATCTCTCACAGGGCTCTTGTCATGCTTGTCTCAACAAGTCTACTGACATTATCTTGCAAAATTGTTCACGTCATCAAAAGGAAGCAATCATATGGGCAGAGCCAACTTGACAAAATGACTGAGAGAAAAAGAAATGCACAAACAGAAGATTGCCAAAAGCACGGACTTCCCAGTAGCCAACGCCTTGACGGTACCATTCAGTCTTCTTGCTCTGGTCTTCTCCGACCTGCTCTCTCCACATCTCCTCTGCGTTCTTGAATTCTCGGCCGGCAGAGTCTAACCCACCTTTCTCCATTGAGACTCGAGTTCTGGTCTGGTTTTGGCGGCTGTTGGCTCTGTCAAACGGTTCTTTGGCCAAACGACGTCGCACAGAAGCAAAGCTGAAGTCTTTTGCAATTAGCTCGGAGTATAAAATGGAGTGATGCTGCATGAAAACCTAAAATCTCGACGATGACGAAGATTATCTGCGTAGCAAAACGAAAGAAGAAGAAAATAAATAAATGAAAGCCAGCTGGAAAAGAATTCCATTGTTTTTCATATATTAGAACTTCAAATACATAAATAAAGAAAAATTCTATTCACAGAATTCTATTTACAGAGTATAGCCGCGCGGCTATACTGTGAGCGGTTATACTTTTAAAACAATTCCATTTCCAGCATATAGCCGGACGGCTATACTGTTATAAAAATCATATTTAAAGATTATAGCCGGACGGCTATACGTTTGAAAATTCTATTTATAGAGTACAGCCGCCCGGCTATACGTTTAAAAAATTCTATGCTTTAAAAATATTTCCACATCGCACCAACAAAAAAAATATGTATTTATATTTGCCGGACTAAAAAATTTCTTTTTAGAAATTAAAAAAATATCTCATCCTTATTTCATTATTTTCATTAGAAATGATGTTTTCATTATTATTTATTTAGTGAATAATTAGTATTAAATATTTTAATTAACTTCACAATTTACATTACTTAATAAATAGTAACTAATTTTTTTAAATTTTCATTAGAAATGATGTTTTCATTATTATTTATTTAGTGAATAATTAGTATTAAATATTTTAATTAACTTCACAATTTATATTACTTAATAAATAGTAACTAATTTTTTTTAATTTTTTTTCTTTAAGAAAATATTTAAATACTAATTATTGATTAGGTAAATAAAAATTAAAAGATAACTACTAAATAAAGTAATTAAAAAAGAGAAATCCACATTATTATATTTATAGAGTATAGCCGCGCGGCTATACCCTTGAAAATTCTACTTACATAGTATAGCCGTTCGGCTTTATCGTTGAAATATTCTATTTATAGATTATAGCTATACGTTTGAAAATTCTATTTATAGGGTACGGCTATACGGTTGTAAAATTCTAGATATAGCCGTGCGGCTATACCGCCGGTCGCGCATCAATCCGGTTTGGCTCCCAGTTCAATTCAATTTTTGTCAAAAACCCTAGGATGGGATCATAGGAGTCATACGGTTCATATCCAATTTAAACTTCGAGCTTCTCTCTCATATATTCACGCACTTATTTGAAGAATTGGAGGACAATTTGTTTACGTGGCTTAGTGTCGTTGGTGGATAGAAGGAACAAGTACCTCAGGTAGTGTACTATATCGCAATGTTGAACAAGCTCTCTAAGCTTTGAAATCCATGGAAGGCAAAGCTACCAGTTTAGCAAATCTCTTGCAGGGTTGCATAGACAAGAAAGCCCATTTGGCCGGCAAGCTCATTCATGCTTTCATATTACGTAGCAATGGCCTCTTGTCGAATACTTTCCTCTCTAACCGCCTCGTTGAGTTGTACTCTAAATGTGGTAATATCGGTTATGCAGACCGGCTGTTTGATAAAATGCCTCACCGAGACGTGTATTCTTGGAATGCCATATTGGGTGGATACTGTAAATTTGGGAGTTTAGGGGATGCTCAGGAGTTGTTTTTGAAATTGCCTGAGAGAAACACCGTTTCCTGGAACACTCTGATTAGTGCGTTAGGCCGGCATGGGCAAGAGGAAACTGCATTGGGTGTTTATGATACAATGATTTTGGAGGGATTCATGCCTACCCGTTTCACGTTGGCGAGTGTGTTTAGTGCGTGTGGAGCATTGTTGGATGTGGAGCATGGTAGGAGATGTCATGGTCTTGCCTTCAAAATTGGTCTTGAGGAGAATATTTATGTGGGCAATGCTATACTCTCCATGTATGCAAAATGTGGACTTATTAGGGATGCAATTCGGGTTTTTGGTGACATGGCTGAGCCAAATGAAGTTACTTTTACGGCTCTCATGGGTGGGTTAGCACAGACGGACAGAGTCATGGAGGCTTTGGAAATGTTTAGAATGATGTGTAGGAAAGGGGTTCGTATTGATTCTGTCTCGTTGTCGAGCATCTTGGGTGTTTGTGCGAAAGGAGGAGGAGGAGGCGGCGAGTATGGTCTTGATGATCAGAGTGATGGATTTCCATGTAATGTGAATGGACAACAAATACATGGTCTTACAATTAAACTTGGATTTGAGGGAGATCTTCATTTGAACAATTCATTGCTTGATATGTACGCTAAGAATGGGGATATGAATAGTGCTGAGAAGGTTTTTGCTAATTTGCCAAAAGTCAGTAATGTGTCTTGGAATATCATGATAGCTGGGTATGGCCAGATATGCGAGACTCAGAAAGCTTTAGAATATCTGCAAAGAATGCGATCTTGCTGTTTTGAACCAGATGAGGTTACTTATATTCATATGCTTGCAGCGTGTGTCAAGTCTGGTGATATAAAAAGTGGCCGTCAAATGTTTGATAACATTTCATGCCCAAATGTGAGTTCATGGAATGCCATTCTCTCTGGCTATTTTCAGAGTGGGGACCACAAGGAGGCAATCGAGCTTTTCAGGGAAATGCAGTTTCAACATGTGCAACCTGATCGAACTACCTTGGCAGTTGCCCTCAGCTCCTGTGCAGCAATGGGGCTTCTGCAGGCTGGAAAAGAAATACATGCTGCCTCACAAAAGGCTGCCTTTCAAACAGACGTGTATGTTGCAAGTGGACTTCTTGGCATGTATTCAAAGTGTGGTCAGACAGAAATGGCAAAGCATATATTTCATAATATGCTTGAATTAGATATTGTTTGTTGGAACTCTATGATAGCAGGTCTTTCGCTCAATTCTCAAGATAAGGAAGCTTTCACTTTCTTTAAGCAGATGCGGCATGATGAGATGAGACCTACCCAATTCACTTACGCTACTGTACTGAGTTGTTGTGCGAAGCTGTCTTCTTCATTTCAAGGGAAGCAGGTTCATGTTCAGATGACAAAAGATGGATATATGAGTGATCTCTTTGTAGGGAGTGCTCTCATTGATATGTACTGCAAATGTGGTGATGTAGATGAGGCCAGGAAATTTTTTGATATGATGCCTAGTAAAAATACTGTTACTTGGAATGAAATGATACATGGGTATGCTCAAAATGGACGTGGAGATGAAGCTGTTCTGCTTTACAGGGACATGATTGGATCAAGTCAGAAACCTGATTGTATAACTTTTGTTGCTGTTTTGACTGCTTGTAGCCATTCTGGATTGGTCGATGCAGGCATTGAAATATTCAATTCTATGGAACAAGAACATGGAGTGGTGCCAGTTTTGGATCATTATACTTGCATTATTGATGCTCTAGGTCGTGCTGGTCGTTTCCATGAAGCAGAAGTCCTGATAGACGAGGTGCCATATAAAGATGATCCAGTTATATGGGAGGTTTTGCTTAGCTCTTGTAGGGTTTATGCTAATGTGGGGTTAGCAAAAAGAGCAGCAGATGAACTCTTCCGCTTGACCCCAAATAATTCAGCCCCTTATGTGCTTCTGGGAAATATTTATTCTTCGTTAGGAAGATGGGATGAGGCAAGGAATGTGAGAGATCAAATGAGTGACAAACAGGTCATTAAGGATCCAGGTTATAGCTGGATTGAATATGATAAGGGCAAGCAAGCCGGTATGGAGGATGATAATTTTATGGTAATTGATGAAGTTGAAGTAGCAAGTAACAAAAAAAATTTCTATACTGCCTAGAACAAAGTCAAAACATTGCTCTTGGTGCTTCTTCACGTGGTATTCTCCTTATGGAAGCTTGGGAACCATAAAGAGAAGGTCAGTCAAGATTTAGCATTTCTATAATGAGTCTGTTAGGTTTCCAATGAATTTATCTATTCTCTAATGTTAATTAAAATTTGACATAATCAGGTTTTAATGCTGCATCATGACCCCTGCTAGGTTTGCATCACTGGCAGGCTACTTCAGAAGGTTTTCATCTCACAGGCATATTACCTTTGCACGTGCCTTTTGCTGCTGGAACAGATGGCCTTTGGTTTCATCATCGAGAGCACATGTTATATTTTGCAGCTGACTATTGTTACATCATCACCATATAGAACAAGCGAGTCACAGTCACAGACAAGATTCGGTGATGCACCTTCCTAATGGCTTTAGCAGGTGAACAAATCTTCTCTCTCTTGATCGGCCTCACACTTTCTATTGTGAAACGAAATCTAAGCATTCTTCTTAATTCCTTTTCCTCACAGGATTTTGTTTCTTACTTCACCATAGGTCAGGGATTTGATCCCCTCCAATTAAAAGAAAAACAATCTTCCTTAGAAAAAAGATTATGAAAGAGAACCCAAATGCAGGCCTCAAAAGGCAGCAGAGACAGGTGGGGGGAGGGATGGAGGAAACTCAAACCTGAAGAATAAATCGCATAGCCATGACCCGTGAAGGAGGAAACTGTCTTCATTTGTATCAACATGGTTCATCAGAGACAGAATAGCTTATCTCAAAAAAATTTGTTTATTTGTTAGCTGTTTTGATGTAAAAATGTAGTTGTTAACCCATAAAATTTGTAGAAGTTTCAACCATACGACGGTTTTGTTCAAATAATTACTTTAAAAGGTGAAAAAGTAAAAGCGCTATGTTTTTTATTCTGATATCAATTGAAGGTTCAAACATATTTGTTTAACAGCTTTGATTTGTTTGACAGACAATTGAAGGCTTAAATATTTCAACTCAATAAAAACTTATTTCTTGTTTCCTATTTGGAAATAATCCAATGGTCACCAAGGAATTTCCTGACCATCCCAGGCGAAAAACTTTCCATTATCATGGCTTTTCGCATTGTGGATGATGCTTAAGAGCTTCTGTACTGAGAATTCTGTTGTGAAAAGTTTGTCTTCAGGAACATTTCTCTGAAATGGCCTGGAGAGATCTGTGTCCACTGTACCTGGGTGCAATAAAATGCACGTAATTGGATCCTTCCTTCGTGCAAATTCCACTGATATATTTTTTGTCACTGCAAATACAGTGGACAACAAGAATTATAAATTTGAAACATAACTAATTAAGTTCACTGCAAAACTACTATTAGTTCAGTCTGATTTAAACATGCTTGATCAAAATAAAAATAAAAATTGATGTTAAGAGACCTCAAGCAAGAAATCATACGTTGATTAAGTGCAGATTTTGAAGCTCGATAAGAATGCCAACCCCCAAGGCGATTATCACCTATGGATCCCACTCTGGCACTTAAGTTGGCCACAACTGCAACATCCCTTTCAGTTCCCAAGCCGCCTCCATCCTTTAAGAGAGGCCACATATGCTGCTTGCACAAATTACAGATTACAATAATTAGCCAACTCCAATATGCACTTCCATGAAAATTAATGTGAGGGAGCTTACAAGGACTTTGGTTCTGAAATAGTATGTGTATTTTGTTCAAGAACCAAGTCAAGTTTGAAAATGAAATTCAAGTGAGCATACCTTGATCACTAAAATAGGACCTACAGCATTAACCTCATAAGCAAGCAGCAAAGATGACTTCTCTACTTTCCTCAACGTCGTTTCTGTACTGGAAATAAAAGAATACAAATGACAGTCTGGCTTTTACATAAATGATAAACTTCTGAGTAAGACTTTGCAGTTCTAGATAATGATTAGACTTCAAAGTCTTTGTTCAAGCAATGATCCAATATGCATACCTGGTTGCAGTACTTGAGGCATGGAAAGAATCCCAGATGCATTAATGAGAAGGTTTAAAGAGCCATATTTTTCACTGATAGACTTGGCAGATTCCTGAAATGCAAGACACAAACAAACATTTAGGAAGTAATTTTTTTCCCCCATTTATAGACAGGAAGTATACCATGAAGTTTCATCGATGCATCTTCATTCCAAAAAGACAAAGGAACACCAAAGATTCTTTTTCTTCAGTAAATTTACCACTGCACCGTAAAGAGTTTTCAAGAATACCTCAAAGTGCCAAATTTTGATATTTGAACTCATTGCTGACTAGCAGGCAAACTAATTTACCCAGTGTTGGCAGAAAAAGGAAACGGTGAAATGCATCTAACTTCAATGGTTACTTTTCTTTCAGAATGGAGCAAGATAAGAAATGAATTTGCAGAAACCAAGTTATGTAACCTCTATAGTGCTTTCATTGGTCACGTCCAATTGTAGAATGCTAAGGCGTTCAGCAAATTTACTTTTCAGATGAAGAAGACCTGTTGCCCCACTAGGATTACGGCAAGTAGCAATAACATGACCTTTTTCCTTCTCCAACAGCTGTTTAACCTATACAAGACATAAAACGAAAAATGACATAATCTTGAGGCAGAAAAGTGTCACAAACCTAGTAGGGTAATCAAAGGATTTGGAGATGCATCTTGCACGAATAATAACAGCTCAGATATCACCTAAAAGTGTTGGGTGATCAATTACAAGGAAACTCTGTAGAGTACCACTACCACAGGTTCCTCCAAAGGTGAAACCAACCAGCAAGTTAGCCAGAGGTCTTATACAAACATGCAAAGTACCAAAAGAAAAAAGAAATGGTAAAATGCGACTGCGTCGCTAAAATGCAATTCAGCTTTATAGTCCTCTTCAAATGATAAATGCAACTCTATCATTCTGATATCCATAAGAGAACAGTTACAGAAAGTATTCGGATTGGCAGTTGTCATTGAACCAAACAAGGAAACTTTCCCATCTTCCCCTTTTCCAAATCCTAATGCTATTTTGTACAGGGAAATTGACATAAAACTGAAGATCATAAATCCACAGGCCATTTGGATTATGCGTTTTCTAGTAAACAATACAAAGATCACACTTTCTAGTTTTACTGAATTTCCAGCCTTCAAACCCCAACATGGCTATTTCAAAGTAATGCTAATTCTACTCTTCAATTGTTCTAATCACTTTGATAACTACTCATCAAGAACAGGCAAGTACTACAATGAAATGGGAAATTTTGATTTTATTTAGATTCACGTATTTTGGCACTTGTCAAGTGAAATTCTACATCTCAATCAAACTCTCCACATGAAACAGAGCAACCCATTTGCCAAAACAGCAATATATATATGTATGCAACAAAGCAAATGAATAAAAGAAACAGAAGCTCACGAATTCAAGGCCAATTCCTCTCGAAGCACCCTGCACCATGGAAACCCCACATTCCCATTTCACAGCAGAAGAAGAAAATGAGGCCCTTTGGGTCATTACCCGCATCAGTCTCAGAGGTTTCATCGCCATGAATGAGCATTGTTGGCTCAGAAACAAGTGTCTCAGTTTGTACATCTTCAGTTCGTCCCCAAAATCCAAAACAAGAGACCAAGTAACCGATCTTTCTGTTGATATTTGCAGTTTGCTACTACTAATTATTTGGTTTGCTCAACTTCCCAACAAACACTTCATTCATTGCAAATTTGCAACGTAACACTTCATATGTGGTTGATAATCCGCCACCTTTGAAATATTTTTATTCATTGATTTTGGACTTTGCTACCCAGAAAAAAAAAAAAATACAGAAACTGTTTGTTTATTTTTCTTTATTTGGGGCAACTGGTTGGGCCAGTTTGTTGTCAACTTAGGTTGGATTCTGGCCTTTCGGTTTTATAAAAGCCCAAATAAGAAAAACTCGAGAAAGCTTAAAAAAATCACAATGGACCAGCCCGTATAGGCTTGAACATGAGTTCTAAATGTTATTGTATATTATTTGAAGTTCAAGAAAGTGACTTCACTTTTGTTCGCAACCAATCAATATGACATGGAGAATGAAGCTCAACTATCAAGCAAATCATCATCATCTGTGTTCTAATCAGGTCAAATAATCTTTTAAGAAAACTGAATTAAGGAATTTATTAAATATAATTACTCACATACACGAATGACTTTCATTCGTTCCGTTTCCTTATTAACAAAGTAGACAAATCACTCTCTTTCTTTACTGGAAAGTCCGCATATTGCGAGTTTGCAACTATGCTAACAAAATGTTTGAATTAATTCCCATCACACCGGTATATTTAGAAGTAGACAAAATAATTATATGGTCATAATAATATCATTATTAAGGAACTATTTTTCAAATGAAAGCAGGTTGAAACTTTGAAAGCGTCAACAAAAATCATAGTCATATTATGGCCAACAAACACTAATGTAGTAATGTACAAAAAGACTGAAGCTGATGAGACCGACGGTATGTTTATAGGTCCCACGCTAATAATAGAGGGCGCACAATATAAGAGATAAGGTGAACAAATCCTCGTGCTCACCAAAACGTCGAATGGTTTTTTTCTTCAACTTTACAATGTGATATGACATTTTAACTGAAGTTATATGATGATATTCGAATTTGTGTGCGAAGAGACGAAGAGACGATCACATTGTTTTGGCCAATTAACTTAATTTACGTTCATTAAGACTTCGAAAGCTTATTGAACATACATAGACTAATTATTTAATTTGATGTCTTTCTATCAACTATATATAATTGAATTTGAGCTGACATCATTCAAACCAAAAAATTTAGCTAAGCAAAGGCGGGCGGACACGAAAATTTCTCCCAACTTTCATACTAGAACTAGTCAGATTTTACATTTTTTACTTGATTGTCAGAAGACATCACACACCCTATTGTCATTTTCAGTCATTTCCATTTCTTTGTTTTGGAGGGACATATGGCCCTTTTCTGCTGTTGTGGTGACTTCATTGAACACTATAAAAATAAATCTTACAGGTTGTGAGAGAGATTTGGTGATAATAACTTAGGAATTTAATAGTTTTAAGTGAGATCAAGATTGCAATAACTTATTTCATGACACGTTATCGATACTTGGATTCTATAATTGCTTACTCATAATGCAGAGAACTTTTTTAATAATAATAAATAAATAACACCAATGAAAACTTTGTGCATGCAGTTAATAATTAATATAAATCATTTGATAAGAAGACTAGTTTTGTAAGAGCATCTACAATGGGCTCCCTAAATCATCTTTTTAAACAAATTTTAGGGAGCAATTGGAAAAATACAACTCCAACCACGCTCTCTATCCACCTAAAATATGGAGATCTCTAGGAATTCTTAAATCTGAAGAGAGAGAAATAACTCCTAATAGCTTCCTATAATTTAATATTGCTTTGTTTTATGTATAGTTTAAACTTTTAATTAATGCTAACTATATTTTTATATTATTTTTAAAAGATATGGACCAATTATATTGAATTAAAAAATAACTATAGTATTTATGACTCCCTAAATTATGGAGTATGATTGGAGTTCAAATTTTATAGAGGGCTTTGGTGTGTTTTTAGCTAAATTTTAACTTAAAAATAGGAAGCAGCATGATTGTAGATGCTCTAAGTATTATAGTTAGCAAGAGAAAAAGGAAGCTCCTGCCGACCTAATAGTGGTAACATGCAATCCAAAACATATATATGAAGACATTGAATGATGTGTTCAAGTGCGTATGATCAACTTTTGTTAGATTTTGTGATGAGAAAGCTCTGAAAGTGTATCAAAATTACCAAAATATTTTCAGAAGGAGTAAAATGGTCATGAAACTTTATGGTGTGCCATCAATTATAACTCCAATTCTTTCTTTTCAAAATCATGATCACAGTCACTCCCATTAACCAAATTGCACCCAACTTCCTTCAAATACGTAATGACTCTTACCCCCCATCAACCAAGAATGCGAAACCATTTAAGGGTGACTTTTTGGACTGATCTTTATTGAAGTGTCAAATTTTGAGGGGCATATATGAAAATTTCACTAAAGTTGATGGATTTGACATTACTTGGGGTCACTATTTCCCAATAAATTGATTGAATGTTGTTTCCATTACCAAGCGAGGCACAATGTTTCCTGATGCATGCAAGGGGGAATCATGACATGTGTTAAAAGAAAGATGACCAGATATATACAATAACATTGTTTTAGTATAAGTGGCAGTTAAACTATAGGAGAGAGAGATATTTCTCTCACAAAAACACACAACTACGTTGCCACGTGGATTCAAACATGAGATCTTTAGTCTGCAAGTCAATGCCCTTTTTCATTAAACTAGACCCGTTGGCTATATAATAGTATTTAAATAGGAAGAAAAAGGAGAATAAAAAGAAAAAATTATGTTCAAATAGTATACAATAATGTAATATGCATAATAGATCAACATTCATATATACTTACACAAACTTTTTGCTGTGCTGTATTTTCTTATGTTTAGTAATTTACATAAATGAAAATTCAACCATTCCCCATTTCTAGGTTTCTAAATTTAATAAATAAGACTTCACTGCCAAGTTTGTTAAAACACTAATACCACCTGTGAAGTAGTCAGAAGCTTAGAGCTTCAAATGTGAATGTAATTCGAGAAAACAATGATCGATTTCTGCTAGAGCATTTGTAACATGCAGGCCTAAATTTTTAGTGTCTGGGATCACCAAAAGCATTTAGAACAAATTTTTTGTTTAATCGGTTTAATATTATTCTTTTTTAACTAATAAACAGGGTGTATATCTAATCTTTGAGATCACTTCCTCTTCTTCTCACGCTTCCTGATTAGGATCAACAAAACAAGTGAATAAAAAAAAGAACAATCCTGTTTTCTTTTACAAGAATGATGACTTCAAATTGATTTGATTCCTCATTTCTAAAAATAACAGAATATCCACTAAATTGCCATAAAATAGCTCCAAATTTCTTGTTCAATTAACTGAAGATTCACTAAATTTTAGCCCATCTTCACTAAGATCTTTAAACCTTCAGGGCTTGTTTGATATGGAGGATTAGACTAGACTAGATTAGAAAATGCCTACATTTTAAGAGCATTCAAGGCATATCTATAAGAGGTTGATGACTAAAACTTATCCCGGGATCAACTTCTATAGATAATCCTACTTTATCCTCCAAGTTAGACAACAATATCCATATTATTCCGTGATTGCACATGAAATATAGCCACTTTGCTAGTCTATTCTTGTCCAGTCTAATCTTTTCTAACAAACGAGTCCTCAAAGTTATATGGTTTTCATGAAACCATCTATAATTAACAAATATATATAGTAAGAAAAGAAGGCTTCTTAAATTATCCTTGTACAATGTATGTAAGTTTAAGGTTTATTATAGACCAAATAATTGTACTAGATTTGGTTCTTACACATATTTTTGTCTTCACACAAATGTCACTTTTTCTGCTCACACGCACATTTCAAGATACAGAAACAGAACTCATTGTAAATTGTACATGATGATGACCATGTCTATAATTTCCTCAGTTGATTTTTGAAAATCACTACCTAAAATCAGCCAGCCATAGGCCAACAACTCTGTCAGAACTTTAATCAAGGAATTTACGTGCATGCTGCTGATAAAATTCACAGGACCACCACAGCACAAGTAGCTAGCTAGATGACTATTTGGCATGCAAAATGATTAAGCACCAACCTCGATTCGTTGGAAAAGATTAAAAGATGCTAAGATGAGATTAAGGAATGCTAATTTTGATTCCTGAAAAAACAAAAACAGTCTAATATTCGATAAGTACTATTAATACATTTTTAAGTAAAACAATATCCAAAGTAAGCACAAGAACTTGGGTGGATAATAAAAGAAACAGAAAGCTGAGGAACCCAAAGCAATGCTATTTATCTCACAATTACACATCCCTAGACAAGATTGATGAGAAAGGTCAGGCTTTTTTGTAGTAATTCTTTCTTTTCTTCCCTAGATTCTTTTGTCATCTTTCAATTTTTGTTTTGTTTTGTTTTTTTTGCTTTCAAATCTCTCACTTAAAGCGATGAAAATTATAAAAGTTTGGTTTTTTTTTTTTCCTTTTTAAAATACCTACACCCACATGACCAAAGGTTGCGGATGAATAATTTTTCCCACTTTAAAAGATGAATAATGAAGGCAAGTCCCATCTTCCTATCAAATCTACTTTCACACTGAGACTGAGCTTTCCAGTCATGTCTCCGATGGATGTACTTATTTCTACTGTAGAAACCTTCTGTTCCTCAGCTTTCTGTCCCATCCACCAAAATTCCTAAAGGAATGTGTCTGCTCCCAATCAACCAACCAGCGCTCTCTTTTTCTTCCTTTTACTGATCAACTCTTTCCCTAATCCCTGACTATTCTGGTAAATAACAAGAACCCAAAAAGTTTATAAAAAAAAGAAGTAAAAAAAAGGTGGAAAAATAGAAAAGTAGTCATCTTCCCCCCACTCCCACATGTAAAATTAAATTCAAACCAGAAACACAAGGTTTTTAAACTGCACCACCAAAAAAGAAAAGAAAAAACTAACTTAAAAAGAGTATACTCTCTTAACTCTTGTTTTTGTGGGGGAGGTTTGTTTGTTTGTTGTTGTTGTTGATAATATCTTTTCAAGGTGGTGATCTTGGTCTTGTTATAAGCGCCTCTTAGCTGCTTCACCAAATGAGGTGTTGT